ATATAGAGGTAAATATTCAATTTTGTAAATTATTAAAATTATTTAAACTTATTATTTTTTATTAGGTATTGGAATTGCATCAGGACAAATGGAATGAATTAGTACAGCCGTAGCTACTATCTGGCAACAAATAATTAAAATTAAAGAAATCATCAAAATGCTAAAGCAAAATAGTCATTCAAAAAATCGAGCTGGAGAAGTATTAATCGCTTAATTATGCCAGTACCATGAAAAAAAACAACCATACAACAGTTCTTATGCATCTAATTATGACACTCCTCTAATATGGTGGAACAATTATAAGACGAAACCACCCTATCTTCAATAACTTGCTATTAAACTATTTTCAGTATCACCACATGCAGCAAGCTGTGAGTGTATTTGATCTATTTATAAATGGATTCATGGAAAGCATCATGGTCGGTTATTGGTAGAAAATTTAGAAGCAATTGTAAAAATTCATTCATATTACCTTGCAAACAACAAGTCAGAACTTTCTTATTATGGTCAAGATCATTTGACTGATAAAATCCGTCAAATTTTGAAAATGGCAGATCTTTATGATGAAGAAGAGGATATTGATTTAGACCAGGTCATGCTAAATGTGAATTTGAAAAGATCAAATATTGATGATGATAGTGAGATACTAGAAGATCAAGTTTTGAAATTACAAGACACGATAAATTTAGATATCTCTCACCTAAATCAACCAGTTGGTAACAAAACAGATGTGGAAAATCTTTAAGAAGATAATAATAAATTAGATGAATAGATGGTGGATCTTGAACAAGAGGAGGATTATGATCCTAAAACTATTGTCAATTTTTTTGTAAATCAAGAATAGAAATTTTTAAATTATATAATAAATTTATTATTGATCAGTTTTATTCGATATTAAAAATGTTACCATGAAATCACAACCACTATTCGAAATATACTGGTCAGAGACCGGTAATGTGTAAAATACCTTTAGGAACTTTATGAATATTATAAAAAGCTTGGCCATAGCAAGAAACATGAATTTATTTTATGTGTAAATTAGCGCCCAATGCAGATCATTCTAGATCCACATTTGTGATCCGCCTACATTACAAAATATTCAAAAATCTGACAGAACATATCTATCACTTATATCAGAGAATGGTATGGGGTGTGCATAGCTGCTAGGTGTAGTATCCAGTACGTATGCAGCTCTTATAGATTTAGAGTGGGAGAGAATATATAATAAGCCAGAAAAAAAGGTTTTTGGATATATAGAAGTGCAGCGAATGAAAAGCACAATGATCAAACCTCACTAAATACCACTCTATCTCTCAAATCGGACACGTGCCAATCAGATTTGATCTCTCATAATAATAGTCATTCCCGTAACTTCGATTGCTCATGATCGTCTTTTCATGTATGTCTCAGTATTTGGCAGGAGTTTGGGAAATCGGAAGTAGTTTAGGGAATTGGAAATGATTTGGAGAATAGGAAGTAGTTTAGAGAATTGGAAATGGTTTGGGAACAACATATCCAAAATCTGAAATCTTTCGATACAGCTCAAAAAGTTTCAGCATCCATGTATAGTGTAGTGCAGTAGACATAACATAGCATATAGTGTAGCTGTAACACATGGCGCAGTAATTACCAATTACTACCAAATTAGGTGAATAAGTAATTTATATTAATTAATCTTATTTATAATTAACTCTATTTTTAACTTATATTAT